AGTGAGATGAGAGAAGAGAGAAGAAGAGAGCATTACTATGAAGTATGCGTGTTCCGAATTGATCGGGGCGCAATATGCATGGTCTGCCAGAGCCTAAAAGGGAGCAGAAGTGACATGAGTACAAAGCTCAAAATTGACGCACATCTTCCGATCCAATGGACGACCTTATTTAAGTTAAGTTCGGTTGAATCTGAGGTGGGGAGCTGGTTTGATTTTAATGGTCTGGACTTTCTGTCGAATTCTATGTTCTTTGGGGAAAAGAAATTTCGGAAGGCGACAATTGAAACGCAGTATTCAAATTCGAAAAGAGCGATTAAAGGCGCGAGCTTCCGGTGCGTCCTGGTTTATGAGGGGCTTTTTTGGAAGTTTGCAAACACGAAATATCCTTCCAGTTCGCTAAAGAAAAATCCCCATCAACTTATCGCCTGGGAGCATGCTAAGGGTCTGAAGGTGACCGTATATACCGTGTTTCCAAACTTCATGCGTCGATTTCACATCAGCTTGCCAAAATCCAAAAGGGGGCGTTTTGAACTCTCTTCCAAACCGCATTTTCCAGAAACAACACTATCACGTACCATCGGTTCTCAACAAAAGCGTATCTGCCTCCTGTTCAGGTTACAGTTCTAATCGTCGGGCTTTGCTTTCAACGAATCACAAAAGCCCAGACCTATCTATGTGACACTGTAGCCCCTGGGTCTCCTGAACCTTGGCCTGATAAACTATCCATAAAATTTTGTGTCCGTTGAATTTGCTTCAACAGAGCGCGGGAAGCCCGACAATCAAAGTGCCGAAAACACCCGGTTCTTCCTGCTTACGAGGAACGGGTCACAGCATCATGGAAAATGCTGGGAACCCTCCACGGCACCGTATAAATAGGAACGCCGGGGAAGGGCAGGTCAGATTCCGGGAACTTTCGGGGCCTTTGAACATTTCGATACCGTATCGCTGGGATTATTGTAGTCGTTATTTTAAGATAATGGTCTAGGATATGCAATATTTTCTTAATAACAGAGCAAATACTAAGGGAGGTTAAGTAATCCTCTGGCCGTTTTCGTACCTGAACCGCACAAAAAAATCAAGTTCTCGGGAAAACAAACTCTGCAAATGCAGAGCACGTGCAGGACGCGAAAGCCCACGTGGCCCTCTGCACGAAAGCCCACGTGCGGGACATGCCAGGCGTGGCCCTTCGTGTCCTGCACGTGGCCTTTCGTGTCCCTGCACGTGGACTTTCGTCTCCCTGCACGTGGGCTCGTCTCCTGCACGTGGGCTTTCGTAACCTGCACGTCGACCTTCGTGTTCTGCACGTGCGCTCGTGGGCTGCACTGGCCCACCGTATCGAACTGTCCAGGCTGCCCGCTGTACTAATGCATTAATATCATAGCTTTCTTTTGTGCTTATTCGATTCCAATGGTATACTAAAGCCAAATACGTTGATCAGCACAATCAACACAAACATCATAGAAACACTGACAGTTGAAATATTCATAATACGCACTCCGTCGTAGCCCGAGGTAGAAGAACCATCTAAACTTTTTCTTGTCAAAGCCTTTTACCGTACTTGTACAATACAACTTACCAAATTGTACACAATACCCTCTAAATAAAGCTCAAGCTATTATAGGTGCATACCTTATAACCAATCACGATAATAGATGAAATCATATTACCAATCGTCAAATTGAACATTTGGGGCGTGACTAAACTTCGTTTGATCAATAGAAATAACAATTCTTACCTGACGGATTGCAGCCTATGCTGACGCTTTTGCGACATTCACATCTTAAACCTACCATTGACAGTGGGCATTACTTGATAATGTTTGATACAGGGTGGTCCATAAGTATTGTCGCGCCTTTTTGGCCGGCTGTATCTAATCGAGCTTATAGCACATAGTTTCTAAAGAACCTCCAAATTTCAGCTTAAAAATGGCTTTTGCGAGGCTCGGCTGGCGACAAAAGAATTGTTTATTCACTAAATTTGACTTTAAAAATTTGAAAGAACAAGTAAACTCTGCTAGCAGAATTTCCAAACAAAATTTTTGCATATCCGTTTTTGAGCAAGCGCTATTTAAAGTTTCGGCGAACGCGGTGCGCCGCCCCCGGCCTACCCGTATGTAAAACTGAGATCGTGGCTGCTAGAAAGCTGGGAAAACTGGACATTTTTCTTGGGTATAGCTAAGGCTTAACCTTTTCAACTATTCCTGAAATTTTAAGCGCAGAATTTCCACGATGAAGTTCAAGAAAACCGAGATTTTTGTCTAGTGGCAAGCACCAGCCAGTTTTAGTTCAAATCAAAGTCTGAAAAGTGATAGAAGCCTAGCTCAGTTATGCCATTAAAAGAAAACGTCAGGTAGCATAGTAATACCATTTAGGATTGCCCCCGGTAGTCCCAGGAAGAAATAAAACTTCGATAACTAAAAAATGACGGGGATGCCCTGAATTTGCGGATTTTCGTCCAACATTGCGGAGGGCATAGCTCCTTCAAGCGACAAGCTGTTTAGATTTCCATTTGGGGAAATGCAGAACAATGCTGAAGCTACCATAAACTCGCTGGAAAAACATCCTGACTCTCAATCGGTGGATTTAGAGCCCTTCTTCCCGAAATTCTGGCGCGGCGCACCCCCAAACTTTTGTCGCCCACTTTAGACAAATTATCTCCCTTAGAAACCATTATTCCAAAAAACTTTCTGAAGCAAAGTGGTTTCTAAGGCTTGTCTTAAGCTAACCTACTTGGCTAAATGGCTGAAATCACCCAGTGGGAAAAGATATGACGCCTCGAAAAACGACAATACTTATGGACCACCCTGTATAATTATTTATGGAGTAGATCCACAATCCATAAAATTTTTCACCCCGAGCCATTTGAAACGTTCAAAAAAGACCCTGCCACATCTGCAAGTTGTTAAAATAAGACTCGGACTTCATTGTAGACACATTGCTGCTTGGATGGGCGATCGATTATGTAGTTGTCTTCACAATCTATGACCCTTTTATCTTAGTCAACATTCATACCTGTGAAAATCGTCCTCGCCACTTCTCGCATTGTCATCTAACTTCCGGTTCGAAACCCGGAGTTGATGAGGGAATCGTTGATAAAAGCAGTTGAACTTTCAAAAGAATGCAAAAAAACTTTGAACGGTGTTTGAAATATTTGATTTCCGGTTGACTACGAAGTTGACTTGTTTACGGGGTCCACGTGCAGGTTGCCGTGGTACCCCGTACGGACACGATGGTCCACGTACAGGACACAGGGCCCACCGGTTGTGCATGTCCGGACATGCACAATCGTGGTCTTTCGTGTCCTGCACGTGGGCTTTCAGCGTCCTGCACGTGCTCTGCATTTGCAGGAGAACAGATACCCATAATACACGAACGGTGTACAGCTAAAGCAAGAGTATTTTTTTAGGGTGCTGGCATTTCAGGACCTGATTTGGGTCTTTGTAGCTTGGCACAGGGAATTTTCCCAGGCTTTTGCCGACTTCTAAAGGCTCCATTAATTTTTTTTGATTGAATATTTTAGGATAAATCAAAGACGCTAATATTGTCTTTGCAATGAGCTTTTTAGAATTTTAGGAAGTATTCGCTCGGTTTTATAGCTTTCTCAGGTCAAGGGAAAAAAATTGTGATTTTTCAGGCCAATGATGAAGACCTCGCTTGGACTTTGGCGCTCGTCCAGCTCGGTGACAGCCCTCTACAACTGCGTGCCGGAGGAACTCGGTAAAAAACTAAAGGGTGCTCATTTCACTGTAATTTTCAGACCTCCTACAAATTCCCGAAGGCTTCCCTGCCGGAGCACCGCCACCCTCGGCCTACCAGATCGGAGGCGGGGTTCCTGGGAGGATGGAAAGGGTCTCTCCATCTGGGACTCCACACTCACACTGCAGGAAAGGTATGGTCTTTTATAGAAAATTTATGACAAAAGCGCATCCTCGAAAGTCTTATTGATGACTGTACATTTGTTCAGCTGTTTGAAAGTATTACTCTAGGTCTCCGACAACAAAACCGGTGATGTCGCCGCCGACAAAAACCTACCTCTACGAAAACGACTTTGCCATCCTGAAGCAGCCCGGCGTCAAGTCGTACTCATTCTCGATCTCGTGGCCTCGCATCCCCCCCACCAGCCTCCAAGGAGAGCAAGAACCAGAAGGGCATCGACTACTTTACCACAAGATCATCGACGGACTTATTCGCAATGGCATCATCCCGGTTGTGTGGGTTTTCCAGACTTTTAGTATATCTCTCCGTCTCTCTCTCACTCTCTCTGCCCCTCTCTCTAGTCCTCACTCACTCTCTTCATCTCCTCGCTCGCTCAAGCAGCATGCACCGTCTCACTACATGGTCCCCCTCAAAAATCTACTCAGTTTTTCTGGGTCACCATGTACCACTGAGACATGCCGCAACACCTGATGGACCAAGGAGGCTGGCTGAACCCCCAGGTAAGGCTAATGAACCTATGGTGTATATTGGCCCTCGATATTTTCGCTATTCTTCGACATTTTTGGCCCTGGTTAGATGATTCACTAAAAATATCTTTATCGCTTGAAACCATAGCTCAAAAAAAATTACCTTAAAAAATTTATAGAAAAAATAGGATTCGCAATGAGCCTGAAAGCTGGCTTTCGGGATTATCGACATTTTTCGGTATTTTGAAGACTCAATTCGTAAAGCAGCGCTAAAAAATATACTAAGATATTTTGATTTTAGCTCAAGTATAATGAAAATAGTATAGTTATCAGGCGAATGATATTATCGCACCTGGTTTTGACACCTGAGGTGGTCTTTGAGAGTAGCGACTTTTCAAATATTTCGATACAAATTCCTTTAACTCCTGTCGATAGGCAAGCATAAAATATACTAAAAGTCTTTAATTTAAGCCCTTAGACAATGTAAAAATCGGGGTTATGCCAACGAAAAATCAAAAACAACGCTGTAAGGTTATACCAAAATTATTCAGATCCAGCACCTGGTTCGCCGACTGCACGGAGGTCCTCTTCGAGGCCTATGGGCACAAGGTAATGCAAAGCTTGAGGTTCTTTCTGCCTTTCTCTAGAACCGATGACGCCTCTAGCACCCCTAACGCGTCACTTTCCAGGTCCCATACTGGATCACGATCCCAGCAAGGCCAAGTCGGAGACGCTCGCTGTGCGCCTACTGCGGCACCATCTCCGAACCACGCGCCCGGTGGCTTCAAGAATTTTGCACGAGTGGGCCCCCTACCAGGCTGGACACAACATGATCCTCGCCCACGCCAAGGCGTACAAGCGGTTCGAGTGGTGCATCAAGTGCCGGTTGACTGGAGGTAAGGTAGTTAGGAGAACTGAAGGGTATTGTAAGACGCATGCTACGTGTTAGTAATGAGGGGAATGACCATTTGCCCCTTTTGGCCAAGGTCCAGGAATCACGAACGTCAACGGCTGGACCGTCCCATGCTGCCGGCGTCGACCAAAGTGTCGCTGATCCCGCATCGACCAGATGCCAGAACTACTGGGTTCATCCACCCCTTCTTTACTGTTGCCAGTTAATGGCCGAGTGAACGCTCCATGTAAGGTCTAACTCACGCATCTTTGAGTACACGAACAAAGGCTCAAAGGCGTACGTACACTGCATGCGGTGTACGTTGAAGTACGTATCAAGTAGTGCGCGTTGAGCTTTGGGAGGTGCGCTCATCGTAGTGTAAGCTGAAATTACGCATCCTGTAGCGTTCTCTGAAATGCGAAGAATAGAAGTATTCATGTAGTGTCTATAGTGTACATCGAGCTATAACCGGAAGAGAATTGTTTGCTACGGTACGCATCCTGCTTAGCGTTCTTTGGCATACAAAAACTCCTTAGCGTACCTTGATTACGTGGGACTTTAGAGTATAGTAGTAGTTGTTGATATGGCTTGAGCGATGCGTATTCCTTATTGTACGCATCGAGTGACGTACGTTGAGAGTACGCGCCATATATGTTACCTTCCTGTACGTACAATAAATTGTACCTTACATTACGCACCATGTAGGCTATCAGGTATGCCTGGACGCACATTTCATATAATTTTAGACCTGATTAGATTCCCTAGACCTACTCACCTTAAATTACGGAGAGTACCCGCCTCTTCTCCGCCAGCAGGTCGACATGCTGTCCAAGCAAGAAAACCGCGCCGTCAGCCGTCTGCCGCACTTCACCGAATCCGAGCAAAAGTACATCAATGAGTTCGTAAGCTACTTTATTTATACTTGGTAAAAATTTCACCTGGTGCCACGTACACTGGCAGTGACGCATTATGGTGTGCCTGGAATTGAGGGCGCCTCATTACAATGATGATCATGCAATTTTCAGGAGCCGTCGACTTCTTCGGCTTCAACTACTACATCACTTTCTGTCGCTACCCCGATCGCTGTAAGTTGATCTTAATCATTCTGAACTTACATTTTTGCAGAACTTCTCCACCGCCACCAGCTGGTTTTACAACTTCGACTTCATATGGCTTCTGGTACCTACTTACCTTTCGAGGGTTGTTCCATGCGATAAATTACTTTCTTAGTAATTCAAAACTTTCTCTGGTAGTCCCCGGAGGATGGGTGAAGCACTTACGCCGAGGGTCATGTACCCTCGCTGGTTGATGTGGAATCTTAAAATTAGAATAAACAGAGAGACCGAGAGAGAGAGAGAGAGAGAGAGAGAGAGAGAGAGAGAAAGAAGAGACAGGGAGAGAGACTTACTAGGGGGGAGAGATTAGAGAGAAATGCGTGAGACGTGATGAGAGAGAGCGAGAGAGAGCGCAGAGGAGAGCAAGTGGATCGACTTGAGTGCAAGAGAGAAATGAGAGAGCGGAAGATTGCGAGAGAGACAGAGACAGAGAGAAAGGCGCCAGAAAAAGATACAGAGCAAACCACAAACTACAAAAACCTTTTCAGCTCTACACCCGCTACAAGAAACCGATCTTCATCACCGAGAACGGCGCCATGGATGCGCAGGTAAAATTAGTGGTTAAAAAGTGGGAATTCAGCCCTCAGTATATTTTTAAATGTTAGATTTTGGCATTAAATGTATTTATAGATTTAAAAAACTTACTCAACTGAAAAATCTTCTAAGAATTCTGTCCAATGGTGCTAATACCGCATCCTTCAGCCAACCCCCGGCGTCTACCCCGAGGGTCTGAACGACGTCTTCCGCACCCGCTACATCAAGGAGCACATCACCGCTGTTGGCAAGGGTATATTTTTTATTACTTGGTGTAGGAGGACACCAATGTTGGTGTCGTACACAATTTCACGAAGCTAAAAACTGGTATAATATATACCATTTGTTTAGCCCTCAAGAACGGCGTCGACATCATGGGCTACACCGTGTGGTCGCTGATGGACAACTTTGAGTGGACCGCCGGCCTCGGCACCAAGTTCGGTCTGTACCATGTAAGTTCTGAACCCAGAGTTGGTAGTTTTCGAAAAAAGCTATGAAGTTAAATTTTACGCTGTATTGATTTTCTAGGTCGACTTCACCTCGCCCGCCAAGACCCGTACCCCGAAGGCCTCGGCCATCTGGTACAAGAACCTCGTAGCGCAGAACAAGATCGACCTCTGCTAGACCGAATTAGCACTAATAATACGCGCTTAATATTAATAATATTGACCTCATAATAAACCATTGCAGTTGATGAACAGTACCGTACTATGGGACTTAACTGGTATTAATGATAAACTTAATGCGAAATATCGCTTTTTGGGTTTTCGTTTCCCTTCGAATGGTACCTGCGAAATCACACAGTCCTTCAAAGTAACAGAAATGTTAAGTAAGCCGGTATTTTCTGTACTTCTGGAACGTATTTATGAGAAGCACTAACTCACCCTGACGCTCTAATCGGTTGTGAAAGTTCTACCTCAAAAAGTTTGGGCAGCCTGATTGCGTCAAATTTCAGCTACACTTTACGTTACCCCCATGTGAAATGTTTTGGCTATAACTTTTTTATTTTACATTATTGTAGGCTCAAATTAAATTATTAAATATAATAGCAAATATATAAGTTATAGTATAATTTTCGACGCTATCGAATGGCGTTGCAAAAACCCCGACAAAATAAGCGAAAATACCGAAAACCGTTAGACCCTTTGGCTGTGGGGGGGGGGCAGTATTCCTGCGTCTTTGTTGAACTTTGCCTTGTCCCCAATTTTAACATGTGGGCGACCATACAACCAGGTGCAAGACTATGCAGCTGGTTTTGTTTTTTTATTTATCCAAGGAGTAGGGCAGATGTGCGGCAGCCTTCTTTGGCAACCACCAATCTTTTTCGGAAAGTTCCTTCCGTTATATTTACCGGGAAATCCGGGGTGGAATCGCTAATTTTGCCGAGGTGCTACCCCTAAATTTCACTGGCTAGCTGAATATTGTCTTTTTCTTGGTTTTTCTGGAACGTGACGGTTTATAGATTTCTATAATTTTGCTTAGAATTCAAGGAGAGAGAGAGAGAGAGAGAGAGAGAGACAGGCGAGAGGGTGAGTGTAAGTGAGTGAGACAGTAGTAAGTGAGAGAGGCCGCGAGAGATTGAGAGTGAAAAAAATAACCTAAACGACGTATTATTCAAGATGCATTTGTTATTTTTAACCACAGTTAATCTGAATTTATAATCAACATCTCTTGTACTGCCAAGCACTTCGGTTTACAGCCCTTGCGATGAATATCAAAAACCTCTTACAGGCCAGAAATCATATTCGAGGCAGGCTAGCCGAGATCCTTGTGGAAAGAGATTTACCTGGATTGTTTTTCACTCTGGAATCAAATTTTGGACAAAAAAACACTCACGTACCGAGTCCAGCGCGGAAATTGAATTCGTTTCCGGAAAAACATGGACAAAACAAGGCTTGACCGGAGTCTGGCTTGTTGAAAGTTTGCTAGAATTTTGTATGCTACTATTTGTAAATTATACTATATTTTTAAGTTTCTAACGCGGTTCTTTTTAAATAACTGAGTCATCGATATCAGAATCATCCCAAGAAAGTGGCAGTTCAATCTTTACTCATATTCCCATCACCTTTTCACTTTTCCCAGAACCATTATGAATTTGTGATGTACAACCTCGGGCACACGTCCACAAATTTTCGTCTTTTCGCTTTCAGTTTCCTTATGAGCCGAAAATATAGTTTTTTTAGATAAGATGATGATCCCTTTCACCCCGCTCCGGGCCACGATTTTCATGACTGCCCACGTTGTCTGCGATTGTTTTTCGATGCTATTTAATGGAACATTGCTGTATCTGATTCTGTTTTGTACTGCGAAGACTTTTAGGTCTTACTCGATTATTTTGGCGTGGTAAGTTTTAAGGTAGCGAGCGAGCGAGAGAGAGAGAGTGGGTGAGAGAGGCAGAGAAGGGCAGAGAGAGAAGGAAAGATAACGAAATTTCTGAGTGACACTACACACTTTTAAACTTAGCTTTTTAGTGTCACCCTCTCCGAGCTCGTTCTCGGCTCCTCAGCAGCATTAGCAATGTCACGGTAGGCTTCAACTGCTGCGCGATTACGCTTTTCTTCTATCTATCGTTTGATACGATATTTAGAATCATCCCGATCGGCCGAAGCTTAGTATACCAATTTCACGGGGCTTGCCGTCTTGTTTCTCCGAATTTTTGTATGGCAGGTAGGTCTACCTATCATCTTTTAGCTGTTTGTCTCCTTCTCTCCTCTATCTCTCCCTTTCTCTCTCACACTCTCTCTCTCTTACTCCTCTTTTTCGCTCTCGCTCTCTCTCTCTCTCTCTCTCTCTCTCTCTGACACACCGTCGATCAAATTTATGGATTTTCAGTACAATCAATTACCGCTCATTGTGTCCCCTATGACTTTATGCTATTGCCACTCTCATTTTGGTAAGCTCTAGCGCTTTCTCTGAGCAAATTTTTAAGGTACCGCCACTACGTGCTCCATCGTACCGCACCCAAACCTAGGAATGTAGCCTTGATGTGTTTTCTATTATATTTGCCCTCGTTCCTTGTAATGGTAAGTCTGTCAACAGCCGGAAATTTTTTGCGCTTCGCATTTCCGGAAACGTTATTCAAATTTAAAGCTTCAGCTCGACCAAGCCACTTCCGCTGATGATCCTATTCTTGTCCGGAAAATGCTGGCTAAACAGGGTTCAGGGTCTCTATATCCAAACGACACCAAGATAGCCGTTGTAATGGGGAATTTTGATATGTTCGAAATCAAGTAAGAGGCCCTCTCGCTCTCTCTCTTTGTCTTTCTCCCTCCCCTTCTCTTTCTCAGTCTCTCTCCCCTCTCTCTCAGTCTCTCTCTCTCCGTTTCCCGATCGGCAGCGCCGAAAAAGGTGTGCATCTCAATCATTGTTTTGACGCACTTTGGTCCAGTACAGGATACGGTAAAATAGCGCTTTTCATCTGGTCCAATGACGTTTATGTCTCCTTGCCGGATTGCAAGCCTTCTTGCCATCCTTGAAAGCAAGCCAGCAGAAATTTTTTGGGAAACTAGGCTAACTTCGCGCTCGCTGTCGGCTCTCTCTCTCTAGCTCTCTCTCTTCTTTCCGCTTTGTTCAATTTTCCAGTATTTAGTAGACGCTATTTACCGCTCACTGCACCACACTACAAGAACTTGTTGATGCTGGCTGTCCTGTGGTATAACAGACCATTTATTTTTTAATAGCTGCACGTTAAATTAGCATAAACGGCTCCTACATAACTTTTAGACAACCTTAATATTCATGATTTTTAGGTATCAATATTATGTCTTGACCAACGGCGCCCTGAAGAGGAAAAGAATAGCTTTGTACTGCTTGATACTGTATATTCCTGTGTTTATTACAGCGGTTGGTCTCTCTCTCACTGGCTCTCGTTCTCTCTATCGCTCTCTCTATTGCTCTCTCTCTCTCTCTTTTGCGCGCGCGCGCGTTCCTCTATCTTTACAATCGTCTTTGCCGCTAGGATATGAATTTTTCTGTTTTAGGTAATGAACACCTTCGTGACGAGCGACCCTATTCAAATGCGACAGTTGCTAGTGGAGCACCAACCTGGTTCCCTATATCCAGACTTGTCCAGCTCAGGCAGCAATTCGGGGCTATGAAAATGTTTTTGCTGGGTGAGGTAAGAGAGAGAGGGGGAGAGGAGAGGGAGAGAGAGAGAGAGCGAGTATCCCAGGAACACTAAGGATTTTCAAAAGATCAAAAGTATCTGACCCTGTTCTTTAGAGTCATCCTTAATTTTTCTGAGCCCCAAAATCCAAGCGTAGAATCTTTCCATTTTCCAGGACCATCGCCATTTTCCTGTGGCTGTGCGTGCCCGTGTTCCCAGCCTATTGTATCTCGCTCTACTTCCGCCGCCGAATAATGCGGAAATTGAGAGGAAATCTATGCCTGAGTTCCGGGACCATCAAGGCGCAGAGGAATTTGGTCAAGAAGGAGGGAATACTGTAGAAATCAAAGAGATCATAATCATAAGCAGGCCTGTAGAGGGGGGCTAGGGGCCCTGGCCCCGAAATCGGTCGATCCGAAAATTCATAAGGATACCCTTATGATTTTTAGTTACAAAATTTTTCTGCCTGCGGCGCTGTTTATTACTGTTTTTCAAACAGTTTTTACTTATATGAAGCCTATTTCTTCAACATTTTGTATACCCGCGGTTGGTTTTTCGGAATCACTGTTCATAAAAAATTTTTGCCTGCGGCGCGTTTTCTGCCGTTTTCACACGAATTTGAGTGTAGCGATCATATTCTAACAGGCGCTATTATTGAAACGATTTTCGGATGTTTTAGTATGGCGACTGGGGGGGGTCGCCAAAATTTTGGGCCCCGAAATTTCGGTTCCGCTACGGGCCTGATCATAAGGAATCAGACTCATCAAAAAAGGTCGTTAAATTAAGCCCAGAAAATCGTGACATTTTATGTAAATACCAAAAAATTTCAGGCGCTGACGATCCAAGCGATAATCGAGAATTTTGCATGATGGCCAGGCGACGATTTATCTATGGCGCCAGTTTCAGCTACCGTAAGTCTCTCTCCTCTCTCCCCCCCCCTCTCTCTCTCTCTCTCTTTTCTCACCCTCTCTCTCTATCGCTCATTCAATCTATGTGATGCTCGCTGGATGAGGCCCTCAAAAATAAGAGAATTTCAGCTATGCAAATTACGCGCCCTACTTCGAAGAGTGGGTCTTTTTGTCGTTGGCTATGGTAAGTACAGCAGTTTCTTGGTTTCATCTTTGACATTTTAGGTAAGCCTCGTCAGTCCCTGTATCACCATCTACTACGTCTTACCATACCGCAAGAGGGTTACCTCAATTTTAATGCCTTTTACTATCGAAGAGGAAAATTCCGGATTGGCGGAGATATTCTGACAGCCACGGCAGAAGCTTCTTATCGGGTATCTACACATCGAACACGATCTTATTTTTCACGGCAAAGTGCCATGAAAAAAACATTATTAAGATGTCGGCACGGACTATTATAAAGAACGAAAATTGCAAACCATGAACCAAGAACCCATGATTTTTAAGGAAAAACCGTGACATCAAATGCACTGTTTTTGACATGGAATACCCTTTATTCCGAATGCCCTAAGCTACAGTAGTTCGCGCTGGATCCATCTGATGTCTAGCCAAATCCGATTCCAATTGCACCAGCTGACCCCGGGCGCCGGTGCCTTTAACAAAAACCTTCTGGTAGCCCTGTCCAGATAGATCCGCGCTGGCGATTAGGAGGGCCATATTTTTCAGCGGGGCCAGCCGGGGGTTGATCCGGTTGAAATCCGCCAAGCCAGAGGGAGTGTGTGTGAGAGAGTAGAGCTAGAAAGACAGAGACAAAGAGGCGACAAAGTAATTTTTTAAACCTTCATTTTGTATACGTTTTGCAGTGCTAACATGCGAAGGAGCAATGGCGCTGGAGATAAAGATAGAGAAAGGGAGAGAGAGCGAGAGACGGCGAGAGAGAGAGCGTGACACGGAGCGAGAGACAGAACGAGAGAGAGGAATGTCAAGCCGGAAACCAGAGCAAAGCGAGATTTTTCTAAATTGGAAGTCTCTGCCTCTCTCACTCTCGCTCTCGCTCTGTCTCTCTCACTGTCTGTCTCTCTCTCACTCGCTATCTCGCTCGTTATTGAGAAGTTAGTAGAAAATCACAGTCGGCGAGAGAAAAAACGGGGAAAAACCAGACATCCCGTCTCAT